ATACTTCCCAATACCTTTCTTCATAAACCTTGAATTCTCGGAAGTGATTAATACATATAACTTCTCCCTGCAAGTATTATTATAGACAAAACTAAAACTTTGAACGTGTATTAACTAAATAGAAATATTACTGCGGGAATCTTTCGAAAAGCGTAGAAGAGCTTGCGTGATCTTTTGTCTTATTTATTAATATCTATCTGCATATAATAATACCTGTAATTTGTTACAAAAGGCGAATAAACCTGTACTAAGATTACATTATCTAGCAAACAGGTTAGGAGAATACTCAAACTTATCAGGTAGCAGTTGTCCTGACTCAGCACCGAATTCTCGTAGCTAATTTGCAAGGACATGTCTGGCAGCTAGTGGGGAGAGTTAACAATCAGATCTTGGTAGTTAAAGGGTGGTGTTTATGTAAGTCGAGGTTTTTCTTGGTCAGTGTTTTGAGTTGAAGGGTTGCCGTGAACTGAAAGTAAAGTATGATGGCCCTAAATGATAACAGATATCAGGTTACATTTTTTTTCGGTTAATAATAATAATTCGGTATGTTTGGCTATAGCAAATTGATAGCAGCTCTTGTCTTTCTTCGTCATCAACTGATATTGCACCATACGCTATTCCATTCGCTGTACAAGTGCGTGACAAGTACGCAATGAGTACGTGATTAGTATATGACGTGACTTCGTCACACCATCTATTGCTAGATGTGTCCTTTCTTTTGGTGAAAATAATCGTAGTAGTGAAAATAACAACTTCACGTTAGTCATTTGTTTAGCGCACCTAGCGTACATTAAACACGTTTTTATGCTTATTTTACCAGGTGAAAATGGTTCCATGCCGCGTCAAGGAAGAAGCGAGAAAGGCTGATAAACAGTTAACACTTGTTCCTATAATTTTTCTATTTTTACGATCCTGGAGCATGATTCGCTTCTGTATTTACCTGGTTTCATCTGCACAGCAATCGCAATCATTACTTGATGCTCAGGAAATTTTGATTTATTTACAGGTAAGTATGTTGTATTTCTGTTTGTGCGTTGATATGAGTGGAAGGATTATTAGCCGGCAAGCAGGCTTCATTAAAAGCGCTGCAGGACGCGCGTTTCTCCGCCCGCGGGAAGATATGAGACGAATCGGAGAGAGGTTTGCCGGGGGTGTAGCACTAATAAGTGTTAGACCCCCCTGCGGACCTCTGGCCTGCTTGCGTTGCCTATCTCATTAGAGAGATTTGGTACCTCGTTTACGTGAAACGTGAACGGCAAGAGTGACCACTTGACCACAATGTTCCCGCTTTTTTTCACGTTTGCCGTATGCGCTGTGCCGTTTCTTCGTGAAAGTAAGCTGCTTCGCGTTTGCTGTGTACATAAGATTTTCCTCCAATTTTCTCTCACAAAGTAGAAGTTTGCTTCTGAAAAAAATTCTCCAAAACTATTTCTTATGAGTCATACAATGGCAGATGAAGTTTCAGGTTTAAAATTATTCAGATGCCGCATTTTTTGTCAGCAGACAGCTGTAAGAACTCACTTTGACTCATGAGACAGCTTCGTCGAAACTCTATGTGAAGTGAGCTCACGCGTAGCTAAAGCGGCTAGGTTCGCGTTGTGTTACGTGAAACGTGAAAAGACAAGCTACTCGCAGGCTAAAAGAGTCTTAGGCGTTGGAAATAAACCCTCGTATTTACATCACAGTATAATGGGCAGAAGACCATGGTTGCCAGCCAATCAAAATTCTGGAATTGCGCCATACAATGATTTATTGACTGAGAAATCATAAATTGGAATCAAATGATTAAATTGGCCAACTTACTCTCTAATACTTATCTGTCCTTGGTGACTCATTGCCCGAAAGCCTCAAAACCGTAGTTACCATTCCAATAAATCTTCCACTTTCCCACTCAGAAAAATCCGTTCTCAGTAAGGGCTTAAATTTTGCTCGCATTTCCGAAAAACCGACGAATTTTCAGATAGCAAGACGTTTAAAATGCTTTTGCGGCGTTCAATTAAAAGCCTTTTTTCACGACAAAGAGGATGATTCTAACACCTCAAACAAAAATACTTCGAAACGCTTCAGATTCAAAAGTCTAAATGGACTCCTTCAGAGGGCCAGCTTTAGATTTTGTCATCAACAAATAACGTCACGGTATCAACAAACTTAAATTCAGTCATAACACCAAAATTTCCAACCTTTCATGGGAAGAATGAACGGCACTAAAAAGTACAAAAAAACGCAAACACTTTGTTATTAAAGCGGCCGACAAAGGCGACACAGTTGTTGTTTGGCAGGCCGACCTCTGCCAAAAAAAACACGATTAACGATCTTATGACTAAATAAGAATTGCCGGCCACTGCAAAAAATATCACCATCACCTCTCCTAAACCTAACAACCCAGATCGACCCATCGTCTCTGTCTGCAGTTGTCCCAACCGGACTTGTTTCCAGCTATTTAGACAAAATCATGGCTCCTGTCGTCGAAACTTTACCATCATACATTAAAGACAGCCAACACGTACTTGAAAATTTTTGCGACTTTAATTTCCTTGGCCAAGACAAACTTTTTTTCACCATGGATATTACATCTCGTCATACAATCATACAAGCTAAATCCATGTCATCCTTCTGAAGTTTCGTTTGAAATGACGATTATTAAACATCATCATAATTTGATTTCAGGGTGTATGCAACAGTGCTCAAGGTTTCGTCAACTTCCTTTTGTTTTGGTTATTTACCACGAAATTCCAGAATAATTTGCGAAGAGTAGCACACAAATACTGCCCATGTCTGCGAGACAAATATACATTCATTCCCGGAGAGTGTATAAACGTGGAATACTCAAATAACAGCCGTTATCCACAGTATTCAGACACGGGAGAAACCTCTGCGATATTTAAGACATCAGATTTCTACGGTCCAAAATATTCCTATTACACTGTAAGTTTGTTAACGTCGAATACATCTAAATTAACACGGTAGGAGCCTGGGTAGGAACGGAGGGTTTGTCTCTATGACCTCATGCGGTGATGGTGTGAAATTCTCAAAGGAAATCGCAACACATTTTGAGCGCTTGAATCTAACAAATTTTCACATAAAAGGTGTTTTACACTGAATAAGTTCATATGCTATGTAAGCTAGGTTCGAATTAGGATAGAGCTGGATGTGATTTAGATCGTGATCACAAGCTGTTATTCTTAGCATGCTGCTTCGTTTCCAAGCTCAGTTATTTGTTTACTGTATTATTTCCTACGATGAAAAGTGAGAAATGGGGAGTGCAGTACTTGATGGAATCTAACCATGCTCCAAATGAGATAGGCTAATCTGAACGAGTGGTACGAGTGACTGGAAAGAAAAGGGCGGGAAGACGGAGAACGGGATAGGGGACATTCTCATTCCCAGACTCCCCTCCCCCATTCACGAGGAGCAATCCTTTTATTTTAGCAAGTAAAGACACCTCATTTCATGTGTATATAGGTTGTGATATAATGAAAACAGTCAATATTATATTCTGAGAATATGTTAAAGCGACTGGTCATCAGCCGAAACGTCGTCTTGTCGCTAACTGTTTTGCTAAGAATGGATCAAAATTGACTGAATAGATTACACCATAACTCACTCAGATTTTGAAACCATTTTGTAACTAAGTGACAAGACATTGACGTTTTTAGGTAATGTAATTTTCATGTCCATTTTATGTTGTACTTACAAAGAGACACATGTATCAGTGGTTTGTCAAAAAAAAGGTGAACTTTTAAGCGTTAAGTGCCAATGCACGGGGTATATTTGTGTTAAATGACCGAAAATTGTATATAAGGAAGGAAATCAAATAAAGTGAACTCAAAGTCAATCATTTTTAATCGACGTTGTCATCATTAATAAAATACTCCCCTGGGCTGTCGGACTCGATCTTGCAATTTTCTGTATCTAGGTTCACCGTACTTTCCATCTTCCATCTAAGATTCGATGGGAATCTATAGACTTGGCAAACGAATTTAAAAGCCAAACTTCTGATCATTCGTCCATCCTTTTGATTTGCAGACATTTGTACGACTTTCAAGGCGGTCAAGCACTTTTTTTTGCTTTCGGCGCAACATTTGAGCAATGTCACACGTTTCAATTACGTTTTTTAAGCTCTCCGCTCTGTGTAATAGCTAATGTAAAGTTAAAATTACATCAGGCGCGAGTTAGCATCTTTGAAGTAATCAATGGAAATATCTTGTGCGTTCATATTCTGAATACCTATTGACAGGGTACAAAGGGACTCTACGAAGTTGAAAAGGCCAATTTCGTTGCTATCTCTTAAAGTCTCATAGGTCATTGTTTTTTTTTGAAATAGGCAGGAAAGTAAATCACTGCTATGTGATCACATGCTGAAGTGTGTAAATAATAATAGAATGTAAATAATAAATCCTACTTGGAACGAAAAAAAAAGGAATAGATATGAAAAATAAAGAACGCAAATAACAACAAAGAGAACGAAAACAAAATAAATTGGCTTACCACATATATAAATAAACAGGAATGTAATAAAAAATATAAAAGCCAAATAAAAAAACATATGGAAAGGAAATAGAAAATATGGCTCAGAAATGTAAATAATACGTCACATACTGAAATGTTCTGAATATTGACTTGAAATGCGCGCCACATCTTGTAACATCCATACGTTGTTTAGCAAACAGGTAATGGGAATACTCAAATTAATCAGGTTATTTTCATCTAACACGAAATTATCGCAACTGATTTACAAGGAAATGCGCTGCAGCTAGAGGGGAGAATTAGCAATCAGATCTCGGGTATTAACGGATTTAGATTATTACTAACACAAAGTCCCTTAAATCATAGCGTCATGTGATATGTGATGCAAACGCGTGTTAATTGAAGTACCGTTACTGTCCGTGTTGCGTGACTTCGTGTGACTCACGTGATTTTTTTCACACAACATCGAGATTTAAAGGCTGAGTTTAGAAGTGCTCCGTTAGAGGATCGATAACATGTTGGCTGTCACAGCACCAACAGTAGATACACCAACTACATTGGGCTTTGGAGCCATTGGAAATACAACTTTGAACCGCACTTTGGTGGTTCTGACCTCAGCTTTGTCTCTTCTTGGGGCCATAGTCATTATTATAACATATTATGCGTGGAAGGACATGCAGTCGACCTCAAGAAAAATTCTTGTCTACATTTCCGGCGCTGATTGCGTTGTAGTGTCGAGTTTTATGTTTGGTGCATTTTTACCACCAAACACCAACTCTCCTGCCTGCACAGCTCAGAGTTTGCTCTACACTACAGCTAACCTGTGTTCCATCTTTTGGACCACATTTATGGCCGTCTTTTTGTACATATCGATAGCGAGGAAAAAGCCCAAATTGGCCGACATAATGTTCTATATGTTTCATGCTATTGGATGGGGCGTGCCTGTGCTAATTGCATGCATAGCGCTGCAAGCAGGCGTGCTCGGAAACGATCGCGATATTTACAGCTCAGCTTGGTGTTGGATCAAGGTGCATGACAGTGGCAAAAATGTTGAGGATAATTACATTATGTGGATGCTTGTCACAGGAAAAGCCTGGGAAGTATTGGTCTTCATACTTATTTTAATTTTCTACGGGCTGCTAAAATGTCATCTTCGACAAGAGGTAGGTGACTGTCAATGACGTCTTTCTTTAATAACTTACTGGAATACGGCAATACGTGTATATTTTTTGCATCTGATGAAGTTAAGTGATTGTGTATCACGTTATGTTAAGCGTTACCACATGATCAATTCTCTTGCATCACATGACCCTTGAAAATCGTGGTATTGAAACAAAAAATTTTCAAAGATGTTATGAGCTTCAAAGACATGTACTCTCACTGCGATCTTTTTCTTTTATTTTCTGCATATTGTACAATTGTTACTTACTTTCGTACATTTATTGCGATCGTCGCTTTCCGGCTCATGACTGGACACGCATCCAAGCAGTACTTTCGATCATCGGTGTATCACGCGATCGACTGTTAGTACACGTACATTGCACGTATTCCTCTGACGTAACGCAATATCAGCGCATGCTGTAACGCCTTCCTATGCATCCGGACTGTCACATTGATGTAACATTCCAGAGGGCGCCAATACTTAGTAAGTTATTATATCAGAATGCCAAGTTTCATCAATAACAGAATATTGTCTCAACTTGATAAACAAATCCAGCCCTGGCCGAAGTAATGTAGAACATTAAAACTTAATGTTTTTATAACGTTTATTCTTAGGTGTACATAAACGAAAGAAACCCTGTTGCTCGTAGATCTCTGGAGGCAGCAAAGAGATTCGACAAAAAACTGACATTAGTTCCTGTTATTTTCCTCTGTTTGCGATCCTGGGGAATGATGCGCTTCGCAATTTACTCGAGTTCATCTGTGCATGAATCAAAACCAGTAAGGAACGTTCAAGAAGTCTTGATCTATTTCCAGGTGAGTGTTCCAACGGTCTGTTCTTGTTATACTCGCGAGTGGAGTGGAGAAGAGTATGCGTGAAACAACCGTGAGAGGAATAGGGAGAGGTATCAGACGCGTCGCCTTCTGGGGATCTGAAGAAATTTACAGACCCAATTTTTGCTCTAAAGTCCTTCAAAACTCAACTTCGTCATTCTCAGAGTTACTTGCTTGACCTGAAATCAAACTACCTCCTCTCTGCCTAGTCACGCAACGCTCCCATCTTTAGGATTGCGTGACGAGCCAGGATAATAGTGGGGGTACAAATGATTCATAACAGGCCAGAAATTACTCGCTGACCGAAAAATAGGAATGTAGTTACCTCCATGATCCTAGTAGTTACAAGAGGATATTTTCTGTCTTAAGTGAAACCAAATCGACAAATCGAGCTTCGTATACACCCGTTAGTTTACAGTTCAGTGGTAAGTGAAGAAACGTTTACAAAGTACTGATATCTTTTCAGGGAGTATTTGAAAGTGCACAGGGCCTCACCAACTTCCTTATGTTCTGCCTGTTTACCAAGAAATTCCAAGTGAATATGAAGAGAACAATTCATAGATACTGCAACATATCGTACTGCCCTGTAGATCTCGATATTCAAAACACGGATGACAGCCAGATCGAACCACCTTCATCAGAAGAGAACGAAAGCTCTTCGATATTTGGAACCTCAGATTTTGGTCCGAAATATTCCTATCATACCGTGAGTCAATTAAATTCTAAGAGCAATACTTAAAATGGAAGGAAAAAGGAGGAAGAGTGAACACAAAACAAAATCTAAATTTGAATACACGTTTAAACTTCATTACTGTTTGCCATACGTAACAGGAGCGGATCAAGGGGAGGGAGGAGCAGAGGGTGCGCACTCCCCCCCCCTCCCCCCAATTCTCCGAGATGATCAGTAGCTTTCTAATATAACTTCACAGTTATAACTTCGCAGCAAACTTAACGGCAGATTCGGTATAACTTCACAGCTATACCGAATCTGCCGTTAAGTTTGCTGCGTATTCTTAGTGAATAGTCGTAAGTCTTCTTCGTTGTCGGGTTTTAAAATTTGTTTTCGTCGCATGTCATTTACGTCATTTTTTAGAGGTGCACCCCCTCCTGAGAACAATCCTGGATTCGCCCCAGCGGAATAGCCGGCGGGCGAGCAATATCTGCAGTGAAGGAACTATCACTTCACTTAACATAAATTTCACGATGAAAATGCACAGCGATGTACATAATTTATGATTAGCGTAATCATGCACATATTTTATTGGTTTTTCCTTATAATCTATCAATGGAAAGACGCATAGATGAGGTCACTCTTCACAACGTTTTGCTTATAATCATATAAAACATAGAGATGCTACGTTTCCGTGGGTCTGTAAAGTAATTCGTCAGAGATGACGTCAAAATTCTGAACATACACACGGTAACATGGAATCTATCTGTGAAGTTAACACTTCGCAAAATATCTTAATTGAAGCAGCCAGGTTTCTTAGCTCATGTCAGGGTCTTGACGAAGAAACCATGTCTTGTTTCCTAGATAATTATATTTCGTCTGAATATTAGTAATTGAAGCAATATCTGATGGTTTTGAATCCAGAATGACTTAATCATTCGTCGGAAATTGTCAATGATGAAATGTCTGTATTTGAACAACATATTGCGTATAAAAAGAAAAATTTTTAACAAATTAACTGTCAATGCCATGGACAGATGATGGTGTGGTTCTCACAAATATAATTAAACACATAAGCTTATCGACCGCACAAGTTAATGGTGATTGTAGCTCTGACATTACCCGGTAAAATGCCTGGTTCAACATTTTTACCCACAAATTCCACAAGTACCTTAGGTTATCTTTTCCATCATGTGATACGGGACAAACGTTTTTCCCACGTTTTCCACCCGTCCGCTGACATATTTTCTCGCGTTTTCTACCAGTGGCACCTTGTCCTGCGTTTACCGCTGGTAAAATTCTATCCCGCGTTTTTTCCCTACTCTTTCAGTAATGGCAACTAGAGCATATCTGAGCGGGTTTCCAACATTGAAATAAGTTACGTTAATAAAATCATTACCAATTGAGAGACAGTCTTTCTACAAAATGCGTTTAAAATTGCTTAGTGTGTTTACGAAGAGATTGCTAGTTGCCCACTCATTTCTAAAACACTCTTCATTGCCTCAAAATGACAATGAAAATTGAACATCAAACGCCACGGTTCCACGTTAGTTCCAGTTTCCTAGCACATTACATCCCAGCAGCTGACGTATCATCGACCTGAGTTCTATGAATGTCGACTCTATGTGCCTCGTGCTGCTTGTGCCACAAATGAGCGTATAAACTGTTTGAGTCTGTGATGAGTGAATAATGAGAACCTCTCTCACGCACACGGCCCTCTTCCAAAACAAGAATTTCGTCTGCGTCCACCACTGTGGACAGTCGATGAGCAATGAAGATAGAGGTACGGTCTTTTGTAACACGTTTAAGACTGTCCAGAATATTCTGAAGTATGAATTGGTGACAAAGTGTTAGTGCTTGCTAGCTAAATGCACTCTACGCTTTTTACTCTGAACAGTCTGCCTCTCTTTACTCGGAGACAAGTTTTCCAGAATCTACTTAGTGCTAATGCTGGGCTTGATGCAAATAAAAACTAAAAGGCCGGGGCAGTTAACTCTGTGTTCAGTAATTACCATGTTTCCATTACCTCAGTCCCACGACAGTAAAAGTGAAACTACTGCCAGCTTGAAAAATTTTTAAGGTTGATAATTATGCAATGGGCCGATAAAATCCCATCTGGGATGAGAATGGCGAATCCTCTCTAAGACACATCTCAATCATAAAAGATAATCAGAGTTCGGGATGCATCATCCGGCCTCTTCATGATCCTTATAACCCTTGACAGTGACATGCATCTAATTTTTCCTGACACCATCGGTGCTGAATCAAACATTGAGGTCACGAAAAGTTACAGGCGTTCTTTACCCGACCCGACCCAAACCTTTCTCATTTTTTCCAGTCCTCCGCAACTAGAAGCGCAGTTAACTATCGCGCTTCGTCTTACGTCTGGAACAGGTTATGAAAAAAAAAAAGATCACCCACAAAAGAAGAATTCTCCGCATGAATACCATGGGAAATATATGGAGAAAAGTAGGGAGAATACGCTTACTGATAAGAATTAATGCTTACTGATGTTAGGGTGTAAGGGTGAAGAGTGCTTATCTACTACTCCCTGGCGCTATGGAAGGTAAACTTCTGATGAAACTTACCATTTCCGTGATAGAATCCAGCGAGGAAGTGGCCTCATCGTACATTAGTATGGGTGGGTTTTTCAATATAGCCCTTGCAATAGCTATTCTTTGTTTTTCACCGCCGGAAAGTTTTAAACCACGCTCTCCGACCTGAGTTTGATATCCCTTAGGCATGCGTTGTACTGCATCGTGAATCTCCGCCATCTTAGCTGCCTCATAAACTTCATCTTGTGTAGCTTCAATGCGCCCGTAGTTTATGTTGTAGAAGACGTCATTGTGAAACAGAACTGTGTCCTGATGAGGAAGAAGTCAATGTCAGTCTTTGTAATTTAGTATTATCAACTGAGTTGATAACGTAAATCGGCCACCGGAAAGAATTTCAAAGCTGACGAATGACGAAGGGCTAACGCTCGAAACGTTAACTTTGAAACTCTTTACGGTGCCAATTTATGTTATCAATTCAGTTGACAATACCAAATTACTTTGTTATACTCTCTCTCCGACGCAGCACCACTATTTCTTTAGAAACTTACCCCCTTGTTAAATGTCAATCTTTAACAACCAGAAAACATAAACATGTAACTTCTCTTTACAATGTCATAAGACTAGGACCCAATAATTATTGATCGCCTGGAGGGGAGAGCGGGGGGTTCAAGGGGGGGATCGGTCATCGTCAACAAGGTACATACCCGGTCCTCCGTTCACCAGCAAAGATGATGGGATGACGGGATGAACCTTAATCTAACACCAAATTTTCCTTACTGATTCAGAAAAAACAAATATATAGCAGCCAGATAAGTGAATTACGAATCAGATGGCAGAAACTGAAGGCGCTGAAGGAAATGAAGGCCGGTTAAGGACTAGTAATCCATGAACAATCCCATTTGCCAAAATGATGAGAAGTGCTATTCAACTTTTGATAGGTGACAACGACAATAAACTTAATGGTCGGGATTCGAGCAATTGTGCGAGGTCAAACTACATTTTATATTAAAGAAAAATTCAGAAAAATGTGATTTAAACCCGACATTTAACCTTGAAAAAAATTTATTGTGCAGGTGACAGTTATACGACTTAAAGCTAGTAATTCTAATTTTCTGTAAGTAAATAAGATGAACCGGGGCGTGTCTAACAAATTGCAGCCATACTTGTGGTACAACTCCTATAGCTTGTCGCAATGAATCAATCGTAAGATCTCGAATATCATGGCCAGCCACAAGGATACGACCATCTGTGGGGTCATAGAATCGATACAGCAAACGAACAATGGTGGATTTCCTGGTAAAAAGAATACAAAAGATAAATAAATGAAGGAACAACACTGTAAAAGCTTCTGTCTGAGTGCCATTTACTTATTTCTACCCTTACAATTAATCGGTTTATTTGTACGTGCGAGTTGGCCCTCATGACCACGGGAAACTACGAGGCTTTGTGCAAAGCAATCAGGCGAGATGTCTGTAAGTGGTCTAGTGCCAGACTCCCAGCATACCTTTCCTCGACTCGTCTCAAATCTTCCCGCGGACAGAGAAACGCGCGTCCCGCATACGTCACTTTCCCTACGAGCATCTCTATGAAGGGAGATCTAGTAAAAAGTGGGTTTAATTCTGTGTTTTGTGGTTCCTTAGATTCAAAAGTTTTTTTATTCAATAAGATTACCCTGAGCCGCTGCCTCCTACGATAGCAATCTTCTTTCCAGCTGGCACTGTGAACGTCAGTCCGTTAAGGATATTCTGGTTTGGCAGATAGCCGAATACCACATTGTCAAAGATAACATGTGATTTTTCATCACCAGTTCTAAGAACGAGTGGAAAAGCACCAGGTTTGACCTACAGAAAAAAGAAATAAGAAATATGTTCATTTTGACCAAGATTTGGGATAATGAAAAACCTGCGTCTGTCACGAGGAATTGAGCGAGCGAAGGGCATATGTGACAAATGAAGGCATACTGTTACGTCCGGCAATGTTGAAAGCGTTTTGATTGAGGGGGGTGGGGGGGGGGGGAGGGGAAAGGTAACTTCAAGTTTGTTCCTAAGAATGCGGAAAGACTGATTATTCGTCAGCGGTTTCCCGTGCAACTTTGTGCCCGCAGCGCACAAAATCAACCCTGTAAACACCAAAAAACAAAACACTCCGACCACCAGTTCCCAAAACGTTGCCTTTCCTTAAAAACATGCCCGTCTTTAACCGTTACTGAAGCCTAGACAAAGGATAACAAACAAGTTTTAACTTTCTTTACCTTGATAGCCGAGGAGACCTTGTGAAGATCAAACAATGTTTGCATGTCCACAAGAGACTGCCTTATATCACGATACACAGAACCGAGGAAGTTAAGAGGTACAGAGAGCTGAAATAGCAAACCATTCACCATCACTAGATCACCTACAGACATGGTTCCTGACCGGAGAAGAAAAGAAAATGTCAACTCACTCGCCTGCAGGTTTTACGCTAACCAGGATGAACGACTGAGACTGGGCCTGTAGTCCTACGTTCATACTGTGGCCTGTGCAGGCGCAACACTTTTGCGCAGCCCTGTATTTTCCTCGCGGTCCAAATTGTTTACGTTTAGAGGGGGAAGAGTGGACTTAAAGCGGCTGGATACAGTTTTCCTAAGTTCTGATCGGCTATATTCAGAGTGCTCAAGAGCCAACCCTCCCCATTTGAAATAGAATTATTTCCACAGCTCACATGTGTTGATATCACCTACGAATGGTAGTTTAAAACAGTGGGCGTGGCAAATTGGACGAACAGTAATGACGATAAATGGCATTAAGGCTTCAAAACTTCACGTAAATTTAATTCAAACGTACCTTGCATAATTTGCCTGCTGGCCAGTATCATAATTGCGCTCAAAGAAGCGCTGAAAATAAAATTCTGACCCCAGCTGAGCAAAGCTAAACTTGTTGTGGTTTTGAGGGATGCTTTCTCGTAATCTGCAAGGAGTTCGTCATACCTCTTGGCTTCATAGTTTTCATTGTTAAAATACTGAAAGGAAACGAAAGAGAAAAAAATAAACGAAGACGCACAGGAGGTCAAACAAGGGGTTCCTGACTGGCTTCTTTGAAGACATTTTGAAACACAACACTGTTTTAAAGGAAATTTGAAGATGTTCTGTCATAGATAAAACAAAACCATCACTAAAATAATTTTGAGATTTATAGAGGCTTATGACTTCTAATATCCTTCTTAATGACTGCTTTTGATTATTCACTCTCCTTGAGCATTTTAACCCTTTACACCCTATCATCAGCATGAGTATTCTCCATACTGTTCTCCACACATTTTGTAAGGCGCTGACAAGGAGAATTTGTTTAACTATCAAGAGCTTCTTTAGTCGGTGATCACTTCCTTTCCTCGTGACCTTAAGGGGTGATATTGTAAGGAGAAATTGGATGCTCGTCATTCTAAGAGATCAAAGGGTTGAAATACTATTGCATAATTGTGACAGGATTCCCTTCTGCCAGCTAAGCATTCCATATAATAGGCCATACATACCTTAACTGTCTCATAGTTGATAAG